AACGGAGCAATGCAGCTGTGCTCACATCAGGCCCAGGCAACGGCAATTAAAGAGAGAGCAGCAGCGGCGGCAGCAACAAGCTGTCATCCTTCACTCACAACACCTCCACTGAGCCGACGGCACGTTATTAACAGTTAAACAAGTTCAAATTCACGACCAGAGAATCCATGACGAGAGTTTCACACATTTGCGGGGGTGGGTGGGATATTCCAACTCCAATTAAAACGTAATCTAAAGAACCCTTTGCTGAAAAATGTTCAATATATTCCTCCTTCCTCTCTTATATTTATTGATTTGTCTACATATTTGTTGATATGCAATGTTTGCACAAAGATATGATTTGCTTCTAGGTAGAAACGAAAATAATGACACTAATTCAGATATTCATAAAACAGAGAAGTATCTACCTCCTGAAGCCAGATTAGAGCACTTCTTGCCTGACAGCACGTGAAACTGCATCATTCCTTGAAAATAAATGGTTCACTTTCAACTAAAAGCTACAGGAATCCCAATAAGACATATTTCTCATGAAATGTATCTCCCCATTCTTCATTATCACCCTCAAACGACACAATGCTTTCCAATCCAGCAAAACATGTAAGGCTCAATTCTTATGGTCAGAAAACAACTTTCCAAAATAATGATCCAGCGGGACTCCATACTTAGCCAATGTCATATTATGCTCGTTTAACGTACAAATACAGAACATAAAGGTCCTTGGGTATTGTTACACCTACTTGAAACCATTGTCATCCTGTCCACTACCAAGACCAATTTATTTATAAACTTATTCAGAATTTCAGAACACCAGACATAATAGAAGCGAAACCATAGAAGCGACGTCTAAAATGTCCCCAAAGGTTAAAATCAACTCCTCTGTAAGACTGGCATCTGACTTTAGAATGGTTCATGGTTCATGGTTCATGTCACTATGTTTTAACGGGCAGCAAATATTTGCCGGCACATAAACTTGATCACAGGGGTCCTGTAGCGCAACGGTAATGTCTCTACTTTTGGGCCACAAGGTCCGGTTCTAATTTCCACTTGACATGGAAAAAAGGACAAAACGACTTAAAATAGGCTTTTTTTAAAAAAAAATTCCTCCATTATGTTTTCCTTGCGCAAATCCACTGTAGCATGATACCAATCGGGTTCTTCAAATTAAAGAAGATATTTTGGACCCTTCAGAAGATAATTTCCGTTTTTTCTGCCTAGTGCCTGTTTGTCCTTTTATAGCATCTGGGCAAAACGGAGGGGGTCCATCTGGGGGTCCGTCTCCATCAAAAAGTTCATGCAATTAAAAAAAGTTTGAATATACGATTTTGTTTAAATTCTGGTTTCCAAACAAAACAATACAAAACTTGGATTTTAACACAAAATATGCAAATCCATCCTCACCACTGTATCTAACTCTGTCTTTCAAGGCAAAGTATCGGAATTATAAATTCAATAACCAAGTCTCTAAAGAGCAGAAACACTACTATTACGTTCGAATTTTTATGTAGCATTAAACAGACGTCAAAACAACAGCCCCCACCCCAACTCTCATTTACTGGAAACTTTAACATTCTTGATTTCTTCTGGTAGGAGTTTGTGGAAATATCAAAACTAAATTTAGGGCAGATATTTGTAGAGTGCATTTTTTTTCGTGTGCTGACATTTAGTGACCCAGTAGGGAAACAATGCCACCATTCAGAGCACTAGACGTAGATTTCAATCGACTTAAGCGGGCACAATGAGATGTGGTCATTCAATGGTTACCCATATTGTGTTCTCAAATTTTCTCTCAGCCAAAGTATAATGACTCGGTATTGTATGGGTACTTAGACAAGGGGTCCGAACAAGAGACACTAGTTTTGTCTGACGGTGTGAGAAAGTCGTGAAGGGATCCTTTCTTCCAGATGGTGTTAAATTCAGCTGCCTTTTTAACATTGGCCTTGCACAGCAATCTGCTGCTCCCTTGCCACAAAAGAGGATCTCTGGTTCCCACTAGTTAACATGCACACTCACGCAGCCTTCAAACTTTCTCCAACTTGTTTTCACTGAGTATTGATATACGCATTTGTAGATTGCGTTCTGAAACACAGATGTAACACCACATCGTATTTGGTCAACTTTGTTCTGATGATTCACTTATTGCAAACTTTATATTACTTTGGGTATGTTCCAGAAATTATAACCACAAGCCACTTAGTAATAACAATAGAAACAATTTTATGGATAAATTACACTAAAGGCGCCTTATATATTTCATTTGTGCGTTTCAATAGTTGAAGGCTATTGTTTCTCATTCCCGTAGGCCCAGTTACAAAAAAGCTGTTCATTAAAATATTCTTCATAAAACCTTCACGTAAAAGCAAAGCATTAAGGGTGAATTGTTCACTAACAGTGAACATTCTCTACTGAGGAGAAACTTGCAGAAACCATTATTATGCCTTAAAATCAGAATTCAATCGTTTTCAATTTAGCCGTAAATTCTTTGAAATACACTAACCGTTTGGAAGAACATTTAAAGTGCAATTTCGCATACCACCTTATTGTTTACACTGAATCTTTCTTCTCAAAAGGAAAGAAATGTGTACTTTGTAATGCTAATTTTTTAAACAAACAAAGACTTTAGGTTAACAGCAGTTAGTGATTACAGCACCATTGAAGCATACAGTAAACACCACACTCATTTACACTTTTACAATGCAAACGTTGTTTGTCCCAAACAATGAATTTAAGCAAACAGGCAAGTGTCATGGATGGCTATTACAGTAATAAAAGTTAAGCAGGCGTGTGCCAGACAGCTCGCCACTAAACAACATCTAACGGGAATTGAGTAAATAAAAGACAGTAGCAAGGTTCATAGCTTGCCAGTCCCCAAACCCGGTTGGCCTGTGGAATATAATAGGCCGCTATTAAGTGAAACTATTGTCCACTTGGTAAAATTACACTCCTTAAATTCCAGGGGCCAGAATATGCGGTGATCCCAGGAGGGAGGGCACAAGCTGACGTGCTGAGGGATGTGGGTGGGAAATGCCATCACATTTGTTTTAGAGAGAGAGAAGTGCACTTGACAGTTTCTCGCTCCTCTACAACATCTCTCCCCCAGCACACAACCCCGCCACCCCACCTCCCCATCCCAGCTGCCTGTCAGCGGTTGGGCTCGGGCACGACATTGCTACTCGTCCCCCCGCCCCCGCCCCCGAGCGTGGGAAGCGGAGCGGCCGGCCGTTCACATCTCCTGAACTCCGTTTAACGGAAGCAATTAGGCGCAAGCTGCAGACTCTGTTCTCTCTCCAACCCCCAGCCCCCGCCCTTTCACGTCTGCACACGTCCTAATTATTTCAGTTTGGGATGCCAACGCTGTTTCCTGGATATATCCGATAATCCCGAAAAAAAAGAAACAAAAAGCGGCCACGTGGGTAGTCATCAGGACGACGTCCTTTCGTCTCCTTCATTAAATGTCAGTTTAATTTCCAAGGCTAGACGTAGAGTAAGACGCTTTTGTTTTTTTTACAGTTTGACAAGTGGGAGGTGATGTCGTTCCCGTCGTGTCTTTCTGCTTTATTGCCTATCTCAAGGAAACCGTACTGGAAGAACAAACCTTCTTTGCTTTCTTAATTTTAAAATAATAGCGATCAGATCTGCACCTAGCGATTGAAACTCGGCTCGCCTCTATTCCGTCGCCTATAGGCAGACTGGTTTATTTACGTAAACACTTTTGGCGAGCCCATTAAAACGTATTTGGCTTTCTTTCTTGGGAAGACATGTGACTACAAACGCCCTCATGAAAGCATCTTATAAAGTTCTGCCACATGTTCCAAAGTAAAATGCTTGCCTGGTGATATTTTCACAACCGATCGACTAAAATCTCCCCTGAGACCCTTTTCTTCCGATACAAAACTTTAAATCCAATTCGCTTTCCCAATTCTAACAAACCCTCCGATATTCACGCAGCGAGATAAGGAAATAAATACTGGAGAGGCAATTCTTGATCGAAAATAATTTCCATTTTCTCTAGGACAGTTTAATATTTCATCTACGAAGTGGAGACACCAGTTTCAGTCACATTCCTTTTAATAACTATGCAAGTCTAATTATTGCAAAACGTTCAGATCACGCGTGCCACAGGGCACATATTTAACCTTTGCGTTAGAGTTAACTTGCATTCACTAAGACTTTTGTCACAATCAGCACTAATACCTTTATTAAGTATGTTTTATATTGAAACTCTGTAGACATCCCATCGTTTAACTTTCTAAGTGTTTAGCATCCAACGGTGTTTTGGGGTAGGGAGGTGGGGGGTTAGCTGTACGATTCCATGATTCGTCCTTCTCTCAGAAGCGCCACGAAGACCCTAGAAGCAGTTTTTACTTTCGGTTATCTAGCTTTATGACGGTCAAATACACTCATACAGCTAGATAACCAAAGATAACAACTAACTTCCTCAATCCTTGCGTTTGCTGGTGCCTTCCATTCTCTTTACACTCGCAGTACTTGAAGTCTGCAGTAGATCTCGCCATGTTCACATCCTCATCCTTTTTTTTCCCACAAATTACTTCTCGGCCCAGAAATACTTATCTGCACACTGGCACTGAGAGGGTGCATCGTCCCTCGAAGTTTTTGCTCAACTTCCACAGAACTTAATATTCAACATTAGCACTCCAGGTATTAATATCAAGAGAAGGGGGGGGCGGTGGGTAGCAACAACCTTCGGCGGATTAGTCTCGATATGATCTGAACAGAGTTAAGAGTGAGGTTAATCCATCCGTCCACAGGCCTCTATTTGCATTGTAAATCGCTTCATTCTCACAAAGGCTGCATGAAGACGTTGAGCCCACAGCACTTATCCAAAGCGGCCACATCGCGTCAACATTTTCCCTTGGCTAATTCCGTGGTGGAAACGGGCACAGCAAGCCGGGAGAGCGGGCAATGCGGTCGCACCCCCCCCCCCCCCACCCCCCCGCCCCCCACCCCAAGCTGCTGCCGATCCCGATCTGTTCTAATGGCAGCGGCGGGCGGCTGCTGAGAGATTTGGAAAGCGGTTTCCCCCGTCAGAGCTGGCGGAGCTGGGAAAGCCAGATGCCGCCGCACCGTTGCCGCTGCTACTAGGGGTCTGAAGACGGATCAGGGCCATCATTGGGATTGCGGTGCCGAAATCTGGACCAACCCGGCGAGGTCAAAGGTCCCGGACCGCGGGAGACCAAGGTAATGATGATGTCATGAGAAATTTCAAGTACACGTTTATTGATATGCATGGCCGATCAGCCGTCAGCTCCCGCCGCAAACAAAGGGACTCCAGTTTCCCCCCCCCCCCCCCCCCCTCCACCCCCTCTATTTTGTCGCCAGACCTAAAATAGCTGCGGCCCTTTTGCTCTCCTTCCTGCAAATAATGTGTGGCCAATCCTAGCTCTGGAGGAGTCTTTCCCTCTTTGGATAGATTAAAGCTTCTCTGCTCGGGGTAACGTGCCTTTTCCTTCAATTTCTGTTCCCTCGCACGGTTGCTACGAGGCATTTTGCCATTGCTTAACAAAAACAGGGCCTTGCTGTTCGGGGAACTGGAGATCAGAGCTCGCTACGCAGTGAGTCCATGTATGAATACGCAAAGAATTTGCTCGGGCTGTTTGTTTGTTATTTTTTAATCGCTTCCCATCGTAGTCAAATGCTGTCTGGCACCGGGATTCTTCGATTAAAACGCATTGGATAATCGCCAGGGTGCAATGAGACCAGAGATGGAAAGTTCACCGAATGGCTGAATGCTGAGTGTCAGGCGACTCTCGGAACGCGCGGCCGTGTTCTCCTGTTCCATTAGTATTTGTAGTAAAATATGACATAAGATCTTTACTGCAAGTCTTCTGTGTCATTTTATTTCTCAGATCAGAGGAATGCCTTATGAACCGTATTACTCCTACGACTGTAAGTGCCAAAAAATGCCACTTTACTTGGAATATCCGAGGATTTATTTTCCAAAGGGAGACAATCCGTCATTCAGAAACCTGCAGCCAGAGTTACAGAACATGGATTGGCCTCACATTTATTTCTCTCTCTCTCTCTCTAAATATATATATAATATATAAAATTCAGTTGCGTCATATTCGACTCACAGGAGAAAATGGAACTAAAAGAAGGACATGCAGAATTTCCGCTCCTATTTATGCCTGATGTTGGCCTGGTTACTTTATTCAGCTAGAAAGTCTTAACATGATATGCACATGAGTATGTCTGGATACTAAGAGATAAGATCTGAAAGGTTAGTTTAAGTAGCTGATCGGGTGCAATGTTCCCTTTCACTGTACACTAAAACAGCCCTTAGATTTGCAGATTAATTAGCTGTGTTCAGCATATGGGTTTATTCAGAGACAGAGGAGATCGTAAAAATCCCACGTAGAATCAAACGGCGCCAGTTTATTTTACGTTCCTACATCGGTTATAATGTTTCTTTCTAATATGACAGCATTAAATCTTAATTAAACGATACAAGCAACAAGACAAGTTTCTCATAGACTAAGCTATCTGCTTTGACCAGGCTTTTAAATTAATATTTGTGATCATTTCTCTTGTTATGATTGTTCATTGTCCTCTCTGATTTACACTTACACAAGTGCAAACATTATATTTTAACTATTGCTCAATCAGTACAAACTCTACATTTCAAATGGCAATCCTCCCCTTTAAAACAATGCTATTATGGATTTATTACTATTGAAATAGCCAATTTAGGATTGGCATAGTAACACCATGTGCTTTGTTGGTCTTAATTTTCCAATAACAAGACTAAGCCAACATTTAATTTTATTTTAGTTTCTTTTCGGGATATCCACTACAGTTTTGACACCAGGAAAAAATGCAACAAATTGAGGAATGAATAAACACAAAAATAAAAACCAGTCGATTAATGAAACTAAAGTATAAGCGTTAGAAATTGTACAACAGACTGTAGTCCAATTTCCAGTCCTAAACCGCCATAAAATATCACTGCATCCAAAGAATGAGACAATTACTCGTTTTATCAAAACATACGAAAGGCTGTAAATGACTCAAGCTGTGACGTTAACGTTAGTGCGCAGCAGATAGGTCCATTTTGAATTAAGTGCTGGCTCAGTAACCAGACAACACAACGGAAAGAATTTTTCCATCATAAGGGTCATTTTCATGAAATGACAACATTGTCGCCGTAAAATGCGACACTGAACATTGAAAGCAACTAATAGATTGAAGATTGAGACATAACTGAAGCACCCCAAAATACTGTGGTATTTAAAGAGGTTTAAAATACGATGAACCGAATTGTGTACAAATATCTCAATCCATTTGACATGTTCTTGGATTTGCTTAACTATGCTCTTAAGCGAATGACAATGTGTCCAATTATTGAAATATATAAGGCATGGCAGACTGACGTGCAAACAGACAGACAGAAACCTTTCTGTTTTTATTTTCCACTTTGCAGTCGCAAAGGGCCTATTACATGCGCGTAACAGATTACAATTTACGGTTTTCTTACAATCATGAAAGATGAAAACTGAATAGCAAAACTGAAAATTTTGTGTATCTTGGATGACACAGAAGACAGTGCTGTAAACTATAAGCAATACTAACATGCCTTGTGCGGCATCCTCCCAAAATAAATAATTCACGAAGAACACTTGTCATACGATTTTAAATGTATAGGTGTACATTACTATTCAAAATAATAGAATACTGTAAGTGCTACTAAAAACCACTGACACAGTGTTTTCAATAAAAAAAACCTGTGGATTGATGTCGATACACAGTTCTGCAGAGGACTGCATTTGGTGTAAATATCAACCTCCATATCTATCCCAAAGACTGCAGCACATTGTAAATTAAGACTGAATAATCTCTCGACTCCATTAGTTTAAATAGGTATCAACGTTCTAATGCAAGTGCATTTTTGTCGGAATTTAAATTAGTCCAACTATGTGCTGTTCGCTTTTTTGTATGCACGAAGAAATCATTTCGGCAAATGTAATCCTAACCGATGAGCAGCACCATTTTAGGGGGGAAAGTCCTTCAGCACCAACGTCACTGAAATATACTAGTTGCCAAAAATGATTGCAGCAATAATGACTACCTGTCACATGGTTTGGCTTTTACTTGCAGCAGTGTGTTTTAATAGGCATAATAATTAAAGGCAATGGCAGTGGCAATAGTGAACGTGACGATTATACATTCGTGTCCTATTACTGATGTTCCCAATTTCAAACCTGCCAATCTTCTTTTAGTTGCCTTATTGCTATATATACGCCTTTAGCACAAAATAGGAGGTTTAAGATTATTTTATTGTGGTTATTTTAGCCACTTTTCTATTGAATTTATAATTTAATTAAGAATTTCGAAATTCAAGGTGAAGTCTTAAAACACAGAAATGCTGATCAAATTTGCCTTAAGGTCGCTTTTTGTATGTCTATTGAGACAATACTTATGCAATCGCCCCATAAAACTAGTTCACTTAGCGGATGATGTAGAGGGACTATTTTAACCAGAAATCTGATAACTCACATTCCACCTCAAAAGACCAAATGATCACAGGTATTATAAGCCGAATACATCATAACTGGGTTACGGTGTGGATATCCATTGTCTTAAAGATGAATTTAACTATATACATGCAGCAAAACATTGGTTAAAACACATTTTAAAGATGTCGCCATAGCACAGAGGCTGGTTGAGTCAAATTTTAAATGAAAATATCATTAGTGGTCTGCAATTTGGGATGTAGTTATCATGTCACTGTTGTAATCTTTTTATAGGTTTCCAGATGGATTCAGCGACACTGTATGGCATGGATCTGAAGTACCCTCGTGATCTAAAATAATGTAGCGACTACATATGTTAATATTCAGTTTTCATAATTGGCGGCGAATGTACGCGTGCACGTGAGCTTTATGATACACTGCAGGGGATACATAAACTTGTGTTCGACATTTTGCCGCCCTAATTCTGGATTAGATAAATGGATGTAATTAAAGGGAACAGTACTGAGTCATTCTAGGAATCACCTATCTCATTGGAGCTGTGTGTCATGCTTTTGAATAAGCCGCAGACCACTAAAACGAGATCTTACTAGTCAAAACAGCCATCTTGTATGATAAAAGGCCATTTAATTATAGCTATCTGTAATGCTCTTGCAAAACATTTGACTTGCATTCTGTGCTGATCTCTATTTTTCTATACGCAGAATTTGCATTTTTATCTTATTTTTATAGCTGATTAGTGTCATATGCATTTTGAGACGAGCAGCCGTATTCTTCACTATAACTATATGTGCATTGTAAAGTCAATTGTTTCAGATAACACAATCTGTCAATACCACCCTACATAACACAAAAACAAGACCAGTGCGTCATTAACTAAATGATTTTTTATACGGTGAATATGGTACACAATTCACATGCATTTGTACACACGAAGTACTGAATATGTTTTGTTTTTACCGTTTTCGTCGGTATTATGTTTCAGAACATGAATGTATCCGGTTTACTTTCAACCTGTAAAATATTCACGAATTAAAAAGATTAGTTGATGCTATTAGAATGTCGGCAATTTTGACAAATGCTTTAATACGTAATAAAGTGCTAAAAATTACTACATCGACGTTTAGTCTTTTGGTAACGTTATTTGTGACATGGGAAATGTTTGAAATATAAATAGTTCCATTCAATTCCACCTTGGCCACTTACCCTGTTGTGTAATAAATTCATGAATATTCATTTCTGCATTACATGTCGCGAATTTGCAATCAACAAAGCGGTTTTAAGATGTTTGCTGTAATTGCAGAGCAGTGATTTTATATAAAAAAAACAATAAATGCTTGCTAAGATGTAAGAGAACCACGTATGAAATGGTTTAAATGCTACATTGTCGACGTTAACATCTGGAAGTAGTTTCTATATCCATCTTCAAATAAGATTAAGGTATGTGGTTTGATTTGAAGAGAAGACGAGCCAACAGCAAGAAATGAATGCAATCCACCGTTGAAATCTGTGAGGTGTTCTTATTATAAGATTTCCATCTTTTACGTCTACTAAAATCACGACTTCATTTCAAAAAATTCAAATCTTCACATTTGCCCCTATATTTACATATATTTCAAATGTTCGGCTGGTAGTCTTGTTTTTAAAGTGATAAAAACACCATTAAAATGCAGTATGGGCGATATATGTGATCTTCTGCAGACAAAAGAAACCCAATACAGGCTCAGTTCGCCGCACATATTAAAATACAAATGCGTGCCCTAGTTCTGGATTTCCGCTGAAAGACAGGATTGTTTGCTGTAAAACGCTCCCTGCTCTCTGTCCTATTGTCAGAGCCTGGAGCCTCTCTCAGTGCCACTGACCGTGGCCATGAGACTCAATTCAACTCGGTCAGCGGAGATTGTGTATCTCTCTCTGAAACAGAACGTGGCAATTCTGATGAAATAAACAACTTAATAGCTATGTCAATAATACAAACACACCCACTGACAACAACATTAGATTATTTTGAGCCTAGTACCTGAAAACATTACCCTGATAAAATACTCCTTGAACATAAAAAGTGAGATTCCCTCCTGAAAACACACTGCTATATCGGGTAAAGCTGCATTTTGAGTGGAGATCTGCAAGTAGAACCCTGTCTCTGTGCTTGCCTAGTAATCTAGACTAGTAACAACTCCAGAAACTTCATACAATACATTAGCTGAGTTCCAGCCACAGCGTATGACGAAATATTTTGGAACCATAATTAAAACAACCAGAGTCAGCTAAATGCAGTGACCCTATCCAAACCGATAAATAGCAGTCAGGTTCACAGAAAAAATAGTGAGACATAACAGATCGAGATGGAAACATAGATACAGAACGACGTTATGGAATCGAGTGAATGGAGGGCACAAATCTGACCAAAATACCCATCTGATGAAGTTTTCTATGGTCAAATGTCAAAATGCTGTACAACTGTAGAATGCAATGTAGTTTTGTTTTCAGAAGCATTTCGAAATGATCAACTGAATCGTGCTTTTTCACCTTGCAATCGGCTACGTATAAACAGTCAAAATCAAGTTCAACATCATGCAAATAATTACTAAAACAATTTCAATGATCATCCATTCAACACACCAGTTCTTCACGTGCATGTTGAAATGGGCATACTCTATATTTTACAGAAAAAAGTATGATAATTCTACATTACTGATTTGGATCTTCTAGTTGGCAAACCAACTCACCTTTTGCCTCGAACCAACAAAAATGCCAACGTTAATGCAGTACATTCACAATTATTACACTGAAATAAGTCGTAGTATAATCAGCTAAATCATTCACAAAATTAAAACAGAGGCATTGATTTAAGATTGAACTATAACTAACGTTAGAATTGCCACTGGCAGGGAATGTCATATTATACACTAGATGCAAGGAGATGGATACTTACAGACTGGTTGAACGCAAACTTCAAGGTGGTTTCATTTCTGAAATCTTCATGTACAAAACCCTGCAGCTGAAAGGTCCTCCTGGCAAGTTTTGACTTCGCCACCGGCCCCACGAGCAACCAATGCCATTCCTCGTCAATTTCATTCAAAACAGCCGCTTATTTCCACATTATTCTAGTTGAAATGACACTGAAATAGAGAGGAAAACTACCACTCTTTAAGGTATGTAACTTTTTTTAAATCCCCGAAACATTTTGCTATCCCAAGCCCAAGAAGTAAAAAAGTGTCGGTAGTGTCTGCAAGTTTTTTGGGGGGTGGTGGGGTGAGTGAGGTTGGAGGCCGGGATGAAGATTGGCCAGCCCCTCTGGCGGGGACGTGGTCTGAAAATCAAATTACTTCCCTATTTCTTTTGTTGCTGATGAACTGAAGCCCTATTGTTCATTCCTTGCATGATCTGTTTTTTTTGCTTTCACCCTGGAAGGGCCATTCCCAGAATACGCTGTGCCTTCTCTCATTTGGCGAATAATGTATTTCTTCACCCACCACTAACCTACCTCCACTACACACCACCCTCCCCGCACCACGCCACCCCCTCCCAACACACAGACCCTGTCTGACAGACACAACAAATGAGAATTTACTTGAATAGACCCAAGAGCTGACAAGAAACTCCCTTGTTTTCTTTGAAAAATATATATATTAGTGTGTGTGTGTGTTTGTGTGTGGTGTTTGGTGGGGGTGGGGGAAGTCTGTCGGCAAGTTCACGTGTTTATGCCCCTATTATGAGGCTTTTAATTGCCGAACTTTTTCCCCTCTTTCAAAGAGCGCTCATATTTTTTTCCACAGACAAGAACTCCAGACGTTGACCGCGGTCCGTCTGATGTTGTTGTGACCAGCCGAGAAGCTGAAAACTCGCACTTGGCGCTTTTCAGTCGCTTTGTTTGTTTTTTTTTTGCTGTTTACAGTTTTTTTTTACCCCGTTTATATGTATTTATTTGTTTATTCACTCTGAGTTCGCCCGGTTCTTCCTCTCCCCGACTCTCTTCACGGTCAGGTGGAAAAACCTAAACTGAAAACGGAAAAAAAACCCTCCCATTTCTTCTTGTTTTTATTTTTAGAAATGAGAAATCTGCAAACTCCCGACTGACACTTATGACACTCCCCTCCCCTCTTCCCCCATAGGCCCCCTCCTCCTGGAGAAAGTGTGTGAACAGTAGGAGAGACAGATTCCTATGATGGGAAGCGCTGCTCTGCCGTTCTCCCCTCGCCAGCCCGAGTCGGTGAATAAAAGACAGGCCGGATTTTCCCGCCACCGCCAGCCATTCATTCCTGTGGCGGGAACAGCTTCTCACTCTCCGCCTCGGAGCAAGCAGACATTTCATTTTTTTTAAAAGAATACCCCAAAAAGAAAGGATTTTCTCCAGCTTTTGCTTTTTCTCTCTTTCCCCCATCCCCCTCTTCTTTACGATATACATGTAGCAGGTACCAAAGCCCAGTGAAATATCTTGGAGATGCTTGACTGAAGGATTTTCCAAGCGTCTGCTTTTTTTTAACAGTACGCTCGGTGTACTAGCGAGGTCACGTCTGCTTACGTCACGTTAAGTGTACGTCTGGCAACATCTCAATGAAATTATTAGCAACAAGGAAAATATGCAAATTGGCACTTTATTGTTGGACTGCAACTGAATTGAAAGCGTCTTCTTATTTTTCATTTTTTAAAATCTCTCTCTCTGGGCTCTATGTCTGTATTTTTCAATTAGAAGACTATGAAACTTGAGTGTGCAGGATTTTTTATGTATAAAGGGAGACTGGAAAAAATATCCCTGCGTAATAACGCCGCTGATGCGCCATCACCCCTGCTGTTGGCTGTAACGTGTGCGTTATTTTTAATATGTATATCTCTGTAAGTGTTTACTCAGTTTTTTTTTATTTTACCGAAGCTATTGGCCGAAAGAGTTTGTTTCCATATAAATATTCCAATGTATCAGAGCTCATTAAAAATACCTCTATGTATACAGCGGCTTTTGTACTTAAATAGGTTATGGCTCACGTTAAAATTAGCCCGTTGGAATCCTGTATAAATATGTATGATTTCAGCAGTTACTGCTTCAAAGATATTTAGATATGCATGTTGACACTTTTATGCCAGGTATCCCGATTTTACATAACGCAGAGTAGATCATTTACCTAAGCAGTTATAATAAACCGGATGGAATCTAGTTCTGGTTATATAACAATTATTGCCTTATAACATCAATGCCCATATTTGTAACGGCCTTTCGGATTTTTTTGGATATGTCAATAATATGTTGCTTTTCCTTTAGCGCATAGTTTCATTAATTTAAATGTTTTTCTTTTTTTTAAAAAAAAAATGCATCTTGTGCAATAAATGAGCCTCAACTCATAATCCACAATACGTCTGATAATCTTGCCCTTCTGATTATACAAGGGCAATTCAGATTAAGAGATGATATGTTAAGGGCAAACATTTCATTTTTTAGAGGTGCGTTGGATAAAGTGGCGTTTCCTCGCGCTTATAATATCCACGAGATAGCAGTGTTTATTTTCAAGTAAAATATAATTCGTTTGTGGTAGCAATTATGCCTCGCCAATATTAACTCATTACTCACCGACGTGGGTCTCGCAGCTGTCACACAATTCTTACATATTCTTCATCTTTCCTTTTCTTAATGAAACGGTATTTGCAGAATCTGCAGCAATTGACATTGAAAACAAATGTGTTTTAATAAACCGAATTTGTTAACACAGTAATCGCATTGCACATTTATCATAAATCGGATTTGCAGCGTTTCTTACTGTTGCTTAAAATATACGATTGAAACTTTAGCAGAATTACCAGACTGTTCTAGAACAAGGACCTGTGCTGACAATTGGTTGCTGTGCTTTTTACTCTTCCAGCTTCCAGCTGTAGTGTTATCACTACACTTTAGCCAACAATTTTCAATCGAGCTTTTTTTTTTAGCGCGGTACGTTAAAGCGATTTGAATAATTGTTCAATTCTGCGTGTGGAGCAACATTATCACTTAACGGGTTGGTTTGTAGTAGTGTATATTTAATATAATTTATTTTGTCTTATTTTGATTAATCTTTTGATGTAGTATTCGG